AACTCAGCCCATTCGACCAATCAATAGCAAAAGTAAAAACAATCAGGAAGTTGTCGCTTTCCCTGCGCCGGTTTTGAACAATTTCGTCGGCATTACTTTGAGTTCTTATTGTTTTTTTAAAAGTATTTCCCTCTTTTCTAATTGGCTATTGTGATTTCTTTAGATTTGGGTTGTTCGACACTCAGTTAAACAACATTCTATTCAGCCATGCGGACTTCACTAAACTGACAATTATTGTAATAGAAGAGAAATCATTCAGCATATTATTGATATTTGAGTCAGACTTGAAATAACTTATTTTTAAGTTGGACAAAAAAAGCAAATAGACTGTCCGCCAGAAAAAAAAGAGAAATTAACAAAGCTTATTTAAATGTAAAACGGAGTTTCAGTTCGTTGTTGCCAATGGCACTAAAAAATTATCCATTCGCAGCGGACATCAAATTGTTTTTTTTTATATTTCTACAAATATGTATGTAGAAAATATGAGAGTTGGAAAACAAATCAAGAATAAGTTTATAGCACTTTGCGATGAAGTGTCGTAAATTCAAAACCAGAAAAAAGGAAATACTCTCGTCACTGAATGAAGTAAATATCGAGATTCAGTAACCACCGGTCATCTTGAATATGGAATTATTGAACTTTAATTTTTTGGAAAACTTTCTTACGTTAAAGAGACAAGTAGTGTTCTGGCTGAGAGGTTAAGATTCCCCACGTTTTTTGAATCGAAGTGATTTATTTGATTGGGACAATAAAGGAGATAACCCCTCGATCTTATCGTTAAATAGTTATTTAGGCGGCTCGGGAAAATGGTAAGCAGTAAAAAAAGAGGCTTTCGCCTTTTGTTCAGCAGCCTTCAGCTATTTGTTTAGTAAAGGGAAAACATTCTAATCTACTGTAAAAAAAATTGAACTTTTTCTTTCGTTTTTGAGACATCTAAGCTGACCATTCACATCATAACATAAGTAATAAATGATCATAAAGAAAACTTTTTAAATAAATCGTTGATAACGACTGTTTTGTATTTAAGTGTTCATATCTCAATAAAACTGAATTTAAATCGACTCTTGTCCCTAAGCTTAAACCAAGAAGATTTGAAAATATAGGGAAATTATTCAATGCTTCTCTACTAGAGACATCGGGTGCCTTTTCTTTTAGGATAAAAAAGTTTACTGTGGTGGCCTGATTTTTATTACCTTCCGGCAAACATAGTTTTTCTAACGGATAAGGATGCAGAAAAAGTTGAAAACGTAAACTGACCACCTTAAAGAGTTTCAAGGTTGACGTTTCGAGCGTTAGCCCTTCGTGAGAGCGAAGAACACAAATTACCTTGTTTAACTCAATACAGTTTTTACGTGACGGAATCTAAGGTTTCCAGCAACTACACTTGTAATATTCATAAGCCTCCACGCCTGAAAAAGAGGTCAACCGAAAAGAAAACACCGTGGGAGAGATCGCCAAAAGGCGACAGATTCGATAGTCTATATGCATGCCCAGATACCGATCTTGGCGAAGTTCTAGTCCATTACGTAATGTTTTGCGACAAAGAAAATAGGCATCTTTAGAGTAAGATTTATCGCGTTTGCTTCGGTATTAATTTCTCAAGATTTGCTTGACCGCTAAACATGTTTTTGCCCTTCCTAGTGCCTGTTGATAAAATTAAACAAAACGCCAAATTTGAGACAGATGAAGAAAACACAAATTGCAAATAGCGAGAAAATGCCTTCATAACACCTATTTTTCCGGCATTGATATGATCGGCAGGACGATTTTCTCAAATTTGTGAATTTGCCTGCTTCAATATTAATAGCCTGCAAAACAAGTTCGATGAGGTTCGACTATGGCTAGCTACTAATACATTCGACATTTTGACAATACAAGAGACTAAAATCGACTCAACTTTTCCTAGCTCACAATTTCATGTCGAAGGTTTTAACTTTTATCGTCGTGACAGAGTCAAAGGCGGCGGTGGCATTGTAGTATACATCAGAGACAATATAGCCGCTTCACGGAAGAAATTGAGAGGAAAATGCGTCGAATCAATGTTGTTTGACATGAAAATCGGACAACGACAGTTTGCATATATTACTGCCTATAAGCCTCCATCTGTTGACAACAACACATTCAAACGCGAACTCTGCGATCTTCTGGACGAAGTAAACAGCCTTTCTGACAATGTGATTTTTACCGGAGACTTAAATTCGGACATCCTCCACCCACTTGATAATCACAAAGAGGGTCAGTGTTTACTGGATAATCACAAAGAGGGTCAGTGTTTACTGGATATGTGTGACATTTATGACCTTGACAGCCTTATTAATGTTCCTATGAGGATCAGTAAAAACAGGGAATCCTGTCTCGACGTTATTCTCACTAACGTCCCCGCGTTTGCCAAAGACTCGGGTGTCACTCATACGGGTCTAAGCGACCATGATCTCGTATATACGGTTCTGAAAACCCGACACATGTGATCAAAAGCAGAAACCATAACTAAACGATCCTTAAAACTTTTGATAAGGATTCATTCAAGCTGATTTATCAACAAGAATGCAAGCGGATGAGATCTGGAGACGAATGCAAAATTACCTATAACTCTTGTATTTTTCATCGCAAACTTTGACTAAATTGGGTATATCTGATGGGTTTCACTATTTGCAGGAAATCGAGAGTTTTCGACGCACTGTAATTTCTGCTGCTAGTAAATCTTGACTTTACGCGAAGGAACAAAAAGTGTTATAGAATATTATTTTTCTCTTTTTCAGTGACAACTATTTAACTTGCACTTTAACAAATTTGTAAAAAACAGAACCATCTCAAGTGTTAGAGCCATAATTCTTGTTAAATTTTTCTGTTGAATTAAGCTTTTCTTTTGCAGTTAAGTGCCCCAGAGCACAGTACACAGTGAAGTGTTGGTAATTAAGATTTAATTTTCTTTGGGTGAGAAATTTTTTTTTGAGGGAGGCGTGAGTAGTCCGGTGGTCAGTGTGCTGGACTCTGGGTCCTTAAGCAAGACGCTTCACTCACATTGCTTCGTCTAAAACCGTAGACCCCGTCTCCTGCAGGGTTGGGGTAGGAGACGTTAATTTCCCACGCACGAGATTACTGTGTGGTGGATTTCCTCCCCTGGGGTGGGATGGGTGGTTAATATTTATTGGGGTTGTATATCAATTGGGATATCGTCCTGTTTTCTTCTCTACTTGCCGATACTATTCTGTACGTGTAACAAATTTCAATAAAGTAAAGTAAAGCCAGAGACTAAAACATCCCCATATAGTCCCTATAGACTCTGAAGAGCAGATTTAAAAATTAAAAATGAAGCGAAAGGAACCAAATAACTTTTACAGTAAAAATAAGTGTATAGTTCTTCTGCGCAAACAACTAAAAGCCGACAATAGGCAAAAACCTCGATGTTTACCGTTTACCGTTCGCTAAAGACACCTTAGTTTCGTCGGGTGAACATCTAAGAGCTTGCTCCTTCGCGATTCGTTGAGTGGAAAGCCACATCAGTCACAGCAACCGAGTTTTACGGCACTGTCATCCCGAGCTGAATCTTCATGTTCCTCTGAATTCGGATTTTCACAAAACACACGCTTTGAGTAGTTAAATTGTCAAGTGAAAAACCTTGCGTGTTTTATGAGCCACAATTCGGCCGGATTTCACTGAACATTTCACTTTCAGATTCTTTGCGACTTAAAGACCTCAGGTAAATTTGCCAAATTCGACCGGCCGAACTATTTCAGTTGGTGAACTCAGTATTGCAGATTGTGAACTTTGTACATTTTTGACAGCTTTAGTGTTGTTCAACCAATCATATTATCTGAAACATTCAAACATGGATTCTGATTAGCTTATGATAGCTTGCTTTATGAGAGTATAGATAGTTTGTATTAAAAATTGAAAGAAATGCGCTGAGAATTTAGCGGATTCTTCATTATAAAACAAATAAAGAAGCCTTGAGTGTGCAATGTTCTGTTACAAGGCACACAGGTAGCGGCTAGAGCACTTGAGAAGTAGGGAGAAACAACAAACCACGTCTCGTGTTTCTTCCTACACTTCTTTCGTGCTCTAGCCTCATCCTGCATGCTTTTTAAGGTGGCTCGACTGGATTTTTCAAAAGTCATACTGCTCAAGTTTGAAAATTAACTACGACGCCACGAGCAACGTTATGGTAAAACAATTACCACAGCTGTATTACAAAAAGATGAAAGTTTGTTGTGATTGGTGTTATGTTGACATCGGAGTTTCCATAGCAACGTAATGACGTCATGACAGTTTTTGCTTTCGTTCGTATTTCTCAGTACCATGAGGGTTTTTTTCGTAAATCGCTCACTGGAGCTTTTATCTCTTGTTATTGCCTAGATGTTGGCCAAGTTTGAACAAATTCAATGAGAGCATTTTTGAAAATTTTGAGGATGAAGTTTTGAGGGTTAAAATACAGTAAAAACATTGTTGTCGAGATAATTTGGTGATATCTAAAGAAAACGATGCGCCTTGGGAATGCCGCTATACCACGTAGTTGCTTTATTCCACTTCAAATTGTATGTAAAAAGTTGGCGAGATTGCTCTTACCGATTGTGAGAAAAAAGGGTTTGATGCCTTTGCATTCAGATGCTCTTGTTGTCATTTTTGCGTATAATTTGGTCTATGCCAACAAATATTGTAATATTTTAAAACTGCTCGATAGATTTTTTTTAAAAATCGTCAGTGCTAAGTTGTATTTTCATTGTATACGGCCTGCAGTTTTCAAGGTTATTGAAAATGTGGAAGTCAATAAAATTGGGCCTCAAACGTACTAATTTGTTACTCCCCATATCGTGTTTACAAGTGAGCGACCTCATTATTCAGAGACATTGTTTTAAATTCTCATATCCATGTGCACAACTTTAGCGAAAAATGCATTTGCATTAAAGAGAAAGCTCGACTACTTTCGGATATTTTTCCGAAGCATGCTAATATGAACTGAAATTTTAGCATTAGTCACGCAATTATTCGGTAATGCAGCAATGCCGAGAGAATCTCTGACTAGAAAAAGGAAAACTGCTGTTCTGCAGAACAACGTGGCCGTAGGAAAGAAGGCTAGACGAAGTGAATCACAGGTATGGATGTTTTCATAACGATTTTCTACATTATTTCAATGAGGGTCTCCATTTGTCAGTGATTTGTTATATAACTAGTAAATTTTGTTTACAGGATGCTGAGGAGCAGCTACAGTCTCAACCAGGGCGTCCAGCTAATTACAGATCCAAAACGGTTAGGAAAGAACAATGCAAGGCAATGAGAGAGCAGCGATGGAGTGATAAAGTTAGAAATGAAATAAGTTTAGGCAATACAGCCGACAATGTTCCGGAGGGACCCACCTTGAGATCAAGTCTGCCGTACACAAAAGCTGTAAACATGGATCAGTGTTATGTGGTTAATTTGGAAATGCTAACAACCGCTTTGAGCGAGTGTGTGAATTGTAAACAAGGACCCCTAGATTTACGTAATAGTTTTAATGTTCGCCCGGAAGGAGTGTGTCCAGTACTAAAAGTTAAATGCACACAATGTGAGTTTATTAACATCGTACGCCCGGCCGAGCATCATCGTACTGGAAAAAGAGGCCCTCCCACCTTCGACGCTAATTCCCGTGCTGGGCTTGGTGCACTGCATTGTGGATTGGGACATACGCATACCTCTGGATTTCTTACAACACTTGGTGTACCATCAATTTCCTCAAGCAATTTCAAAAAGCGGGAAAGAGAAAGTGGAAAAGCAGTAGAAGAAGTGGCTAAAGATTCTTGTAATCAGTTTAATGAGGAAGAAAAGCGGTTGTCCACGACTGGAAATGAGGAAGTAGTAAAACTCGGAGTGTCGTACGATATGGGCTGGAGAAAGCGAGGACGTTGTCACGACTCGTCGTCAGGAGTGGGCACAGCAGTGGGGTTACATACCGGAAAAGTCATTAGTTATGCTACTCGCAATAAAATGTGTAGGGTTTGTGACGAAGCGGAGAAAAAGAATAAAGAAGCAGAAAGCCACGACTGTCGAAAAAAAACCACGAAGGATCCTCGAAAAGTATGGAGGCAAACGTAGCAGTCGAGTTTTTTTTTTTCAAGCGCCCCGAAAAGTGGAGTGATTTACTCGACTTATGTGGGAGATGACGACAGCGTCACAGAAAACCATCTCAAAACGCTGGTTAACTACGACATTGATAAATGGAGTGATGTGAATCATGCAAGTCGTACACTGGGAACGAGATTATACATGGCTAAAGGAAAGATTAAAGGGTTGACTCTAACGTGATATCCTACATCCAAAAGAGCTTCACCTACTGTGTTAACCAAAACAAGGGCCAGCCATCCTCATTACTCGAAGGGCTCACCTCTATCGTACCACACGCGTTTGGCAAACACGATAACTGCAGCAATTCCTGGTGTGGATACAAAAAGACCCTGAAGGCTACAAGCACGGAAGTCTTCCAGGAGGCAAGGACCTGACGGGCGAAGATTTACGTGCAACCTTGGAAGAAGCTATTCGACCATTTCTTTCTCATGACTCCGTGAAAAGCTGGCCCCAGCGGGCTCATCACAGAGAAATGAAAGTGTAAACAGTTCCATTGGCTCGAAAGCGCCGAAAATAAGACATTATGGAGGCTCGCAAAGCAGCGACTTTAGAACCGCTGCAGGAATAGCTCAGTTTAACAAAGGGAACAGATATCTGACATTAGCCACGAAAAAAATGGGTCTGGCACAGACGCATATCACAGAACAGAACACCGACAAAATTGACAAGAAAAGGAAAAGGGATGGCGAGCGAAAGTCAACAAAAGAGTTCAAAAAAGCGAGAAGAAACTCTCGAAAAAAAAAAAGAATCAAAAGACCAATTCTGCTGAGAAACGCGAGTCAGCAACCTACGAGACAGGGATCGGCTGGCAACAGAGCGACAAAGAGAAAGCCGCCATCACGAATGCAACCATGAACGATCTAAAGGCATGTCTGACAAAGGAGGAGTTTAGTGATTATACCGATGATCTCCCAAAATCCAACGAAGGGAACAGCCAGGAAGTCTCCGAGTTACCTGTAATCCAACAACGTTCACGTTTTCTTCATTTGGCCCTCGACATAGAAACAACAGGTCTAGACCGGAAATCGGATATTCTGCAGATTTCATGCATTCCACCAAATGCTGAAACCAAATCATTTTCGGTAAACCTTTTTCCAGAAAATCGAATTATTGGCCAGTCAGCGACGCAAGTCCACGGTATAAGTGTAGAGTTTTGTAAGGGCAGAAAAACATTATTGAGAAGAGGGAAAGAACTGGAGGCCGTATCGCAAACTCAGGGTCTCAGTGATTTTTGCAGTTTCCTAAAACAGCAGTCCCGTTCCTTCCAAGTTGTCCTTATTGCACACAATGGTGAAAAGTTTGACTTCCCAGTTCTGATCAATGCTCTGAGAAGGAACAATCTCCTTGAATTGTTCCTGGCTACTGGTGTTGTCCTTGTGGACTCTCTAAAGATTGTTTCGACAGAAATGAAGCAGAAAGGTAGCCCTTTGTATTCCTGCAAGAGCAAATCTTTGTCCGACGTTTACGAAGTTTTACTGAAAGAAAAGTTTGATGCACATGATGCACAAGAAGATGCTACCGCCTTGTCGCGTATTTTATTTCAGTCCCCTCTGCAAGTATCTGTTGAAAGAATTCAGACGCACGCAGTTCCTGCAGAACTGTTCGTAAAAAAAATGAACTCAGCACAAGAGGCAAAATCCCGAAAGTCCACGCTGCATCACCTCCCGGTCTCCGAAGGAATGAAGGAGAAAATGGGAAAGGCCGGGCTTGACTACGAAACAATGCAGGGTGTTTACAAGAAAGGTGGAACGAAAGCTCTGTTAGCGGTGCTAGCTCTTCCAGAGTCCTTTGAGCAAATTCAAGAAAAGCGGAGTAAGCCAAGGGTGACGAAAAACCTACACCGCAAAAAAAGCATTTTTTTAAATGAGTTAGATTAATTCAAAATGAGTTAGATTAACTCAAAATTTGAGTTAACTCAGGAATTAACTCAATATATTGAGTTAAGTTACTCAAATATTTCTACTAAAATTTGTCAAGTAATATAACTCACAATATGTGAGTTTATTTACTTGGTATTGAGTAAATTAACTAAAAGTTGAGTCTGTCATAAGGAATACAGGGATGAGGGATGATTTTGAGATGGGCTTTACCAGCAAAGGATGCTTTCTGCTGGGATATTTTTGCTATATTTGCTACACATTATGTAACAGTATAAAGTAACACGTGCACTATGACAAGACATAGTACACAAGCAATTGACACAAATTCGAACAATATTAAACAACCTTTACAAATCGATCCATCCCTAAAATGGCCAAAGTACATGAATAAAACACCCATAAATCATTGAAATACCCAATAACTCTTTGATAATTCAGAGAATCTAACTCAAATGTTGAGTTAAATTACTCAATCGCATTATGATATCCAAGTTGGTTTCTGAGTAATTCTACTCAGAAAAAAAATGGAGCATGAATAGCACCACAACATAGTTGAAACAAAAGTAATTATTTTTTTTTAATAATTTTTTCTTTATATTTTTGCAGCCATTTTAAGAAACTTTACTTTCTATTCTGCAATATACTATTTATCATGATTTTTTCTGTATTATTTACATGCATCAATATAGCAAAATGTAACCAAAAATATCATTACTGCATAAGATCCAATCTGTATTTCAATGTCACGAAGACTTGGTTGGCATAGCAACCAAATCCCTTAACGAGACCAAGGGGGTAATAATCTAGAAGCTCAGATTGCTTAATATATCTTATTTCGTTCAGTTGCTGAACTTTAAAAGCATTTAAATGACAGACAAATTCAGTAACATTTATTTTAAGGTACTGAAACCAAACTATGTGTCTCTCAACAACCAAAACCTTTTGGATCTTTCCCAAAATTGGAAAGCCATGGTGGTAGTCAATTACAATAACATCGCCCTTTACGTATTTGGTTCCATAAACTTTAACCCAGGATGTGCGTGTCAGTGAACTGTCGCCTTTAGTTTGGGGGTCTGCCTCTTGCAGCTCATCTTCTACTCCTGCTTCTTGAACAGTTGTTACCCTTCCAACAGCTAAAAAGTTATATAAAATATATATATATATTAAAGGAAACTCTCATGATTTAGCCAATGACATTGAACATGGGGTTAAATTAATTTAATGCTTAGGTCATTAATTACTGGGGGAGGGCTGGTAAGTTTAGGGGGCTTTGATTTGGGAAGGGCCAAAAAATTTTGGACCAGCATTTAGGGAGAGGGACAAGGCTTTGATTTGGGGAGGACAAGATCTCTTGGGATGAAGGTTTAGAAATTTTACTGGCCCTCCCCCCCAGTAATTAATGATGGCTCCCTTACCAGGTCCAATTTCCAAAGACACTCTCAAATAGTTGCCTTGTGAACTTTGCATTCGATAAGTCTGAAGGGCTTGATGCCTCATAGCCAAGGAATAGGTGATATTTTTTGAAATTGTTGATGTTGTCTACCAGCTTTTTAAAGTAGTTATGTTTGGCCTCGAACCTCATGGCCCAGTTTCTTACTAGGGGACCATTTCTGTAAATGGAAGATTACTAGATATTATTAAAAACTCATTAATAATTCATAAGCCTTTGGGCCAACTGGATACACCATACATATTACATGCATGGACCTTTATACTCGATAATGTCCCCCTTTAAGTCCATCTTTTAGATGAACCTTTATATAAAAAAAATTACCTTCATTAGTATTCTTTATATAAAGAACACTAAGACAGATGACTTTATCTGAGAGGAAGTATATGTCCATGTTTAGATGAAGACTTAGAGCCTCATCAAGGTCTCATCACACCCTAAAATTCCAGATTGCCATGTATAGAATATTGAGCATGTGGGAGTTTCTTTTAGAGCTACTCGCACATGCCTGTGACGTCAAATATCTATTGAAGTATGAAAGTCCATGTATGGTGGCTCCAGTGGAACCAAAATCTTATAATTATGAGGTCTAAAAACACTCGGCTGCACCTCATGCTTCTAAACCTGATAAGACATTATTGCTCATTCATTAAACATCACATAAAACTATAAGTAATACTGCATTATATACCCATGTATAAGCTGCACTGCAAGTTTCAGAAAACTTAAATAATCAGCATGATGAAGTCTGAGTGGGCTAATAATACATATATTGAAAGGGTATGTAAAGTTATGAAAGGTGGATAAAGTGGTAATACCCTTCCCCTAACCCCCAGTAGTACAAAATGTACAATGCTTACAATTTCAATATAAAAAGACATACTTGATAATTTGATTTGGGTAATGCACCATGTAATGCTGTTTTGGGATTGGAAGCCGGTCATTGAGGTTGACATAGTCCTCTAGGTACTCCTCTATGAGAACTCCAAGATATGCAGCCAGCTGTGGTGTTGCTTTAGGAGCAAAAACAATTTCTTCAATTTTCAGTAGTCGCAAAAAGTTTTCCCAGTGCTCATCATTTTGTGGAATCAAGTCTCCTATAAGTATAGGAAACATTCTTGCCAGGCACCACATCCGAGCTGCTGGTGAAAGAAAGAAAAAGAATATGAAATTATCATGTACTTTTAGTATACAACAAAGCCTTTTTATATATTTTTTGTATATTTTTTTTTTTTTAAAATATAACATAATATATAATAGTAATATGTAACTCAACCATTGCAAAACATCATTCTCCTAACCTGACTGTGAAATCCTCATTGAATTGTTTGCCAATGACTGCGGCTTTATAGGACTTGGTTTATTGCTAGCATCAGATTGAGGATACCACAATCTTTCTAATCTGTCATTCACAATTTCAAGTGTGAAATAATTTTCCTCTTGAATGTACTTCTGTAACAGAATCTTGACTTCTAGGGCAGCACTCCCTCAAGTTGGTCATGCATGACATCAAGAACAAGTCCATCAGTAATGTGGAAGTAACGGGACTGGTTGAGAACACTTCTTGTTTTTACCCCATAAGTTGCTTCTAGATTTGCATCATTTTCTACAAGCCGGCAATGTCTGTCATGGATTGCTCTTGTTCTAATTTGAAAATCTGCTTCTGTAAACTAATATCAATGTGACATTCACAATATGAGTTGTATAATAGTATATTCATCTCAAGTCCATGAACTTTGAAGTGTAGACTCATATTAACACTATTGACACAGGGTCTGATCAAAAGTCTAAACTTATTTGTAACAAAATTTAGAATGCCGGTAAATAATCTTTTACACTTGACACATTGAATAATGACCAAAAATGCATGCACACTACTACTACTACCTTTGTGTTAGTGTCTTCTCTAGTTGCCATACAAATTCTACAAATCCTTAGACCAGAAAAGCTCTCCTGAAAACCACCAAGAGAATGTGCCCCAAGATTGTCACTTGAATAAGGTCCAATGGAACCACTGAATGTTCTTTCTTGTTCATCTATCCAAAATGTTACACCTCTATCCTAGGAAGAAAACAAATACATATTTTTTAATTAAATTATAAATTAATATTAATGACAATGTGCACTTAATTATTTTTATATGGTTGAACTTACATTTAGGTGACAGTTAAGTGTATGCTACAATATACTTACTGCCTCTAGTTGATGCAGGTCTTGCATGAATGGCTGCAGTATCCTATTCATTCCATACTTTTTTATGAGCGGTACTCGGCACAAAGCAATTAGCTGAATTGAGTTGATAACAGAACGGTATTCTGGACTAAGATTTCCCAGATTGAAGTAAAAGGCTCCTGATGTTCATAAAAAAATCAATTTCAATGGCAATAGTCATAACATGTTGTGCCAAACCAAATGCATACCTCAAACAATGTTTTCCTTTGATATTTTTCAATTCTGCTTTAATTCTGCTGACTGTTTTTACCACCTATTTATGTTTAAGGTATTTGGCTCAACATACTAGGTATGACGTATGAATCAAGGCTGAACCTTCTTTAGTTTGGGTCAACACAAATGTGCTATTGTGCAGCACAACAGAAGCACGTCGTATGAACCAGACCTTACATTTGCACTTATTTTACACTGCACATTTGAGGGAACTTACTCTCATTGCATGTACGCATTCAATATTTTGATATTGAACAGGATTGAAATTTAGGATGGTGGATGTTGCATGTCAAACCTCATAAACATTCATAAGTGAATAGGATATCCCCAAAAGATCAGTTTTTAGAGATTTCTCAAAATTTCCCTGCCAGATATTGTTTAAACATGACAAACATGCAATTAATATCTTGTGGATAGTTTGGTTGTAGTTTGTTTTTTCATCATCTGCAAACACACCATCAACAAGCACACACACACACACACACAAAAACAGGAGATTGTCAGTCAATAAATAATAATGTTCATGATAATTATTAATGCTAACAGCAACCTAACAAAACACGTAATAGTTTACATGCCTGTAAATACATGATTGAAAAGCATACCTATTTTATGTTTTTTTGTCTTTGATCCAAGCGGGTTTGTTACTTGAAAATCATCATAGTAACAATGAAGAAGTAGTGCATTACCAGGTTGTCCAAAAAGAGCATGCATTTTGTACTGTTCACTATCACAATAGTCTCTTAGAATTCCATCATTTGAGGAATGACCATTCATAACCTACAAAAGTACCCAAATTATTGAAATGTGCCACAAGTAATTTGTTATTAGAGGGACTGTCATGTAAAATAATGGTATTGATTCAATATTGTCAACTTCAAAATGATATCTAAATTGTCACAAAAACTAAGAGTTTTCCAAATCACCACACCCAAGTTCCTCCATAAAAACATGTAACCCATACACTGAAGTGTTTCAATATAACTATTAGTGCAGTTTTCGTATGACTGTGAAACGTTCACGGCATGAACAATGTCATGGGAAGGAGTCAGCCAATTAAAAATCTAGAAAACATCACGGTCACTGCAAGACACGCACTCCTCGTCCAATCAAATGCAAGAAACATGGCACGAAACACTGCACGGACACTGTCACTACGCGGACACGGCACTGCTTAGCCAATCACATCGCGCAAAAAGAAAATCCAGCCAATTAAAATCCTACGTTACGACACGACACGTTCACGGCACTGAACTTTTCACAGTCATACGAAAGCTGCTCTATACAGGGACTGCACAGCATCCTAACAAGTGTGTGTGTGTGTGTGGGGGGGGGGAAGGGGGGGCGCTAACATCAGAAAATGCAAACCTAACCCTACCCATCTCTGCAGTTCCTGTTATATTCCCTGTTCTACATACATCAAATAGGATGCTTACCTCACATAAAACATCTGCCTGATTGAGCAAAGATTGTAGGGTTTTCAGTATCGAGATGTAATGAAATGTTTCCTTGACCAGGCAGAGTTTTTGCTTGCCTTGCAGATAGCGATATTCAGCATATTGATTGAGGATGACTTCCTGTGGCTCCTATATATATTAAAACTCATATCAGCATAATAATCAATATATTTATATTATTTTGGTAATGCATGTGTTTATAAGAAGGCTAATTAAGATGACTTTAAAGCAAGTTAACACAAGTGATAAAATACATTAATTTGTCCCATATCTTCTAATCACATCTATTAAAGCCTGGACATAAGCTAAGGACTTACCACAAAGTTAAAATTCTCAACAAAGTACTTCATCTGTTGGTATTCATTCTGCAAACGTTGTTTTGCTTGGGAGTAGATACTTGGCTCATCAAGTACTCCAGATAGGCCCTCAACATCAGCAATTTCTATTCCACTGCTTTGAAGGCATGCCACCACTTTGTTTTTCATTTCCACTAAGCTACTGTCCACTAGGTCTCCTGTATTGTCAAGAATAGCATTGATTGTCTGTTGGCTTAGTTGATTTTCTTCTTTGGTTTTTAAAATAAACAGTGCCAAGAATCTTGTCATATCGTCGACGTAGTTTGTGTCTTCATTTGAATCGTTGTCTTCTCCATCTTCTTCATCAGAGTTTTCATCTTCTACGTCTTCATCGCCTTGCTCACTTACGTTCGCAAAATTTAACAGTGCATTCTTCTTCTCTTCTCTCTGGATATGGGATTTGAACGAATTGAATTTTCGAAATGACTGGCCGCATTGTCTGCATGTGATGCTAAAGTTTGGTTCATGACTGTGAATAAATTTGATATGATGTAATAACTTTTTGAAGCTTCTACCAAGAAAACTAGTACAGTATGGACAACTATGCATTTGGATATACGGAAAACCTTCGATAAACAACGACGCGCTGATGAAGGAGAACACAGAAAGACCCTAATTCAATGGCTCTTAAACGAATGTCTGGGTGCTGACCAGTAGAAACGCAGGCTCTGGGAACGAGATTGGAATGGTAGTAGGACAAAGTTTGAGACAAATCAACTCTTTTCTTATAAAAATATTTATAATATATTTCATTACAACGTAGATATTATTTTAGCCGTCTTTATTTAGGATATATTGTATGAATGAATATTTTCCAATTTGAGTTTCCTGTTGTTTTGGCGCTAAAATTTAACCTCGATGTGATGAACATGACCATGTGATAGTGGCTACCAATCAAAAAAAAAAAAGGGCGCGAATGTACGAGATAAAACTCTTGTTCTCCATGAATGCTTTCTCTCACGTAGTCCAACTCTTTGCATTGCAATAGTCAAGTGAGCTCTTTAGCGTTTTCAAAAAGATGGCAAGTTTCCCGAAGTCTGTGGACGAGGTTAAGCAGTGGATGATACAAAATGGGTTTTCGTCCCACGCTTCTACCTTTGAAGGTAAGCTATAACTAGAGAATTTGTACAATATTAGGTTAACCTGAATTTCAAGTTTATTCGTACAAAGCTCATTTGTTGTCCTTCAGTACATGCTTAGATCTGAATTTTAGGTAGAGATATAATACAACGATAAATCATGTATTATTTTAGTTTATTTTTTGTGAGGATTTCTTTATTTTCCAAGGTTATTTTCCTTGAACTTCGCGCTATCTGTACCATGTACGACCATGTACACACTCTGGTAGGATCTAGAGAGCATTACCCGTTGTATTGCAAATCGGTGCCATTTTGAATAAAAAAAAAAAACTAATTCATAAGGAATCCAGATGAACAGTAAAACCAAAAATCAAACTCGGGTTTTGGTGATTAAATATTACGAGGAGATTTGGTTGATCTCTTTCCAATGGAAAGATTCTTGGTTTTGTTCCAATGCAAAGATTCTTGGTTTTGGCGGGAACTTCGGTACCATTCATGCTATGCCGTGCTAAGCACACATAGATAGGTCTTGCCTAATACCTAAGTACAAAACTATCAAGCTTTACCCCACATTCTTTCATATTGATTCCAATTGCTCTCTTTTCTTTCATAAGAGAACGAAATCGATGGCGAAGCAATGCAATGCTTAACGGAGAATGCGTTAGTGCAACTGATACCTGTGGTCGGCCCTAGAATGAAGTTTATCAAGCAACTTGAATCTTTGAAAAAAAAAAAACCTCCAGGCCCGAGAGTATTGATGTAGTTGAAGAGGGTACCCCAATTGCCAATGAAGAAATGGAAGTACAAGACAGAATTCCAGCTGATACAGAAGTAAAAGCAAGGTTTGAATCTTAAGTTATGGTATAATATTGTGCTACATTATAATACTGGATCATTATTTCTATGACTTGCTTCAACAACCTTGATAACTTTGTTTTTATAACTATTTTTGCAAAACAATAGTTTAAAAAAAAAAAAAAAGGTGCGGTCGGTTTATAGCCTTAGATCTTACAATCAGTGCTGAGCCTCTGCTTTTTGTGTAAGGTAGTTTAACTGCCTTTTACCATTACTTTACTCAATTGAGTATACATTCGCTTGTAAGTAGAGACTGTTTTGTAAGATACATAAGGACAGTATAAATTTGTTTTGTGCCAACATGGTTGCTGTGTAAGGTGTTTTGTAAGCACCTTTTACCAGTATCTCTTTTTGAGTGCTATATTTAATAGCGCTCATCAAAGAGGACAGAAATGAATTTATACTTATTAAAATTTCAGAAAAAGGAAAAGAACTCATTCCTTGACGGCTAAGAGAAGACAAAGGCTTGCTCGCAACAAAAGGAAAAGGGAAGAAAGACAAAAGTCAAAAACGGGACTTGAATTGCTGATGAGTGATCTAAAACAGAAAAATCAGAATCTGCATGAAGCAATAGGAGTAGAAAAGAAAATGAAAGAAAAGTACTTCGAGATGTGGAGAGCTTCAGAAAGGAAAAGAGAAACTAAAACAACTAAATGTGTATTCCAGGGATGTGCAAGGAATAATATGAAAAAAAATAATACTTCTAGGGAGCTTTTGCAAATCCAACCAACAATGCTAGAAGATCTTGGACCAGATGATAACCTAAGTAGTGGCAGATTTGGAACTGTGTGCTTAAAAAAATTTAGATCCACACCAGTTGCAGTCAAGTATTTAGAGTCATCTAGTGTTAAGGAAGTTCAAAGGAAGCTTCATTTTTGGACAAATGTTGTCACATAAATCTCCCCATTATATTTGGGGTAAACACAATGCAGAAGCCTTATTTCATAGTCGCAGAATTTTATGGTAATGGATCGTTTAAGGCCTTGACACTAAGAGAACTTTTACATAAGGATGAAGAACATATTAAATCTTATGTAAATGGTCCAGAGTATTGGCTTCATTTAAGTTTCCAGATTACTGATAGTATTTGCTATTTACATACTATGGGAGTGCTCCACAATGATATAAAACTGACAACATTGTTGTTTCTGTATCACCTGTAAATGTTATCACACCTATCTTAATAGATTTTAGTAAGGCCACACTGATAAGTGAAGGAAGATTAAAGTTCTTACTGCTGCGGAGAAGGATCGCTACCGCAAAGAGCACATGCAAATTGCCCCTGAACTCATTGAGGGAACTCATCCCCAATCTGTTAAGAGTGACATATATTCTCTGGGAATTGTTTTTGCCAGTATATATAAATTTACTAAATACAAACCCATAAAAGAATTAGCAAAAAAAAGTTTAATGCCCTTTCAAACCAGATGTACATCATCAGAGATTTTAGCAATTCTAATGGATCTTATGAAAGTCTGATTTACTTTTTTAGATGACTTCAATCTGATTTGTTTGAATTTGTTTCCATCTTACTTGGAGTAATGTTTTATGCCATTATACATATCAGCCATTGATAAGGTGTTCAGGTGTCATTGAAATGATATAATTGTTTTGCTTCAAGATGTCATGTTTGTTAAATAAAAAGTCTATTTTGATCCATTCCTTTCTGTCTTTAGGGACATCCATTATCTACAGCTATATTTTACTATTCATACAGAAAGAGGCTGGAATTTGATAACAAAGTTAGCAGTCCCTGCCCTGATGACAATATAGTGCTAAATGCAAAAATGCTTTGGCCAAGAGTGTTAACACTTCCAACCAGTTTCCGACTGGATGTTACTAGAACACTGGCAAGCAAGGAGAAGCAGAACATCAATAAGAAGTTTAGAAGAGAGTTCATAGGCTCAATATACGATCATTTTGCCCGCTACACTTTGTAAGTATACTTGTTTGATATATGTTTACCACTTTTTGATTGATGAAAAGCCATCAGGAATACATTTTATTGTGGTGTAGGGAAATGCTAAAATTGGCTTATTGTATTTTCATCAATGAGATCTTATGTTGAAGAAGAAGGTACTGGTATTAGGTTACTAATTATTGTACATTTCATTTTATTTTTTGGTTTGTGAATTGTAGGTATCCCACCAAACATCAACTCACATCTATTTGTGAACTAATAGTCCAGAAATATCCCTTCCTGAAAGATACCTCAATTGGTACTGGATATGTAAGTACCGAATAAGTACTCTAAGGTTTTGAAACAAATGATATGTTGATATCTGATGCTGTTATATGAAAACATGAAAAAGTTTGCTACATATCCCTCAAAAAGTTTTCATATCGAGGCCTTAAAGGTTGATCATGTTCACTAGTAAAAATGCAAACCATATGTGACCTTGCATTTTAGCTTATTACATGTTTTTTCATGACCTATCCAGAGTTTTCCAAATTGCTGACTGATTCAATGATCTAATAAAAGGTAATTTGAACATTGACTCCCACAGTCAGAGAAAAGTCAGAGAATTTGGCATTTTTTTCAAGGTCGGGGAATTTTGATTTTGGTCAGGGAAATTTGCAATTCATCAAAATAGGGAATTTTTCTTTCATCTTTGCAACATCTTCTTGGTGATTATGTTTCCAAATGAAATTTCCCAAATATTCCTGGTGTCCTTCATAACAATGACTAACTAGAAGTGTGCCATTGGGTGATGGAAAAATTGGTTTTGGTTTTGGTCTTGGTCAGGGAATTTAACTTTTTCATAAGAGTGGGAACCCTGTTGAATTATGGCATGAAAATAATACTACAGCTACTAGAATGCTGGCACAGTTTTTTTTTTTATTTTGATTTATTACTCCTTGAGTAGCTTTTGCGAATACTAGGAGATCAAAAAGGAGATACAAAAGAGATTCAAAATCTGAAAAAGAAAAAATATATGTGCAGAGGATTCTAGTACTGAAATGTCATATAAATGCAAATCATCTATTACATCAGAGATAATTGATTTCAATACTATTTCCAGGATTCCTGGTACGCTAGTCTATACGAAAAGTTCCGTAATGAGAGAAAGTCTATTAAAGATGACCCGGAAGTAATCCTCAGGAAAAGAAAGCCCAAAGAGAGTTCCAAAGAGTGTGTGAAAGCTAAGCTTCGCAGAGGAGCCATAAACTGGGAGCCACCCTTTCCAGAGGGTGAGGATGAGGTGTCTCTACAACGACATAAAGATTTTATGAAGAGTGAATTTGAAAAAAGGTCTCCAGATTGGGCAAAGATAAGCAAACGAATGGCACTGACTTTCCCCAGCAGACGGAGACTAATGAATGACAATATGAGCATCAAGGAAATAAAAGAACACTACCCTACTCTATTTAAGTTTGAACAGGTATGTTAAGCTATATATTGTTGTCCTTGTGAACTATGAGTATGAGCAATCTAATTGTGTTTTCTCTGTGTCTTTCAACAAGAAAGTTGTGTAGAAGAAGGATGAGTTTAATAAAACTACCCCCACATTAGGGTGATTGGCAGTCTGGTTGTTCTGTCAGGTCAGCACAATTTGCTGCCTTGAGTAACTGGGCAATTCTGGGTGTGTTGGGTGATATGCAGACATCCTATGCTTGCAAGATGTGAATGTCCTCTCTTACTTCATATGTTAACAGAAATATAGGAATTATTATTGATGCTATTCAAACCTTTGTTCCTTAGATACTGGCTGAATTTGAAAGAATTTTGGGTCTAAATTCAAGTGTGGTGGATTCATTCAGGTCTAATTTTCAGCAAGTCACTGACCCGATTGTAAAACTAGGAAAGACAAAAAATAAGAGTAAATCAAAAGAAGAAATCCAAACGTTCCTGCACCTCCTGGAGGATGATGATAATGACATGAACGAAAATGAATCAGAACCAACAATTGGTAAGAAATATAAAAGAAAACAATATCTTATCATGCGAGCTCGTGCTTTTCCCGTGTATAGACCTAATCAGAATCAAATGCAAATTGCCCGTTTCAGACAATGTGATGTTTACAATATCGTCTCTGGAGAATAGTTTCTTTGTTTTTCATCACATGGTCTGAAATGGGCAATTTGTATAGTCAAGTAGGTCTATTACAACCCATTTTCAAGTGCAGCAACAGCACATGCTCGAAAGGTCTGTCCTTTCAAACGTTTTAATATTTTTTTCAAATTTTTGGGTATCTGATGTCTTCATATCATATTATAAACAATTTACTACACTGCTAGTTTGTGTGTTACCCTGGACAATCTTACTCCTGAGCTGTATTTTTTCTTGCACCGGAAGGTTTAAAAAAAAAATACCGTCGCTTTACTAAAATTTATTCAGTGTTAACACAGAGCAGTGCAGTAAACCTCTATATTACTTTGGATCACAAATATTAAAGGGCATCATACAATTAAGTAAAAAACAGTGCAAAGATTAAAACTAAGCCAGTTTTGATGAACCTGGTCCAGTGTAAATACCCTAATTGTAGTGAAATCAATCTAAATCTTTCAATTATTTCTAGAGGAACAAGCTGAAGTGGCCATGGCAGTACTGCCATACCTTCTTCTGCCAAAGTCTGGCCTTATTTCAACAGATGACTTTGTCCATTTTGTATTTGTAAGTATCATCAAATTATATTTATTTCTGAAAGAATAGTTAAAATTAATGGTTCTAGCATCTCTATTTGATTGACAAGATTACATTATTTTAGGATTTGGGTGCCACTCAATTCCAACAATTTCATTATTGAACATATCGGTACATACAGCTTGTTAAGGTGACTGGCTACTTTTGGAAATAATGTTAAACTTTTTTTGAAACTACAATTTTCCGAAGTAAAATTTAATGCTTTATTTCAAATCTGAAAAGAAAAAAAAATTGGTGTCCAGAACTCTTTTTGAGATAATCAGCATTTAATGGTAGCCCTACGTACGAGTTTTTGGCAAAAAAAAAAAATTGCACCACACAAAGTGACAAGAAAAAAAAAAGTCATAGTAGATAACATAACAGATTTTACAGCTAAATTATTATTCATATGATAGCTAGCAGTCTAATATAATTCGAACATTAATTATGACCTATCATATTGTCAGTCAAAAGGAGGTGCCAGAAATCACATTGGTTATAGTGGTTCCCGAAATTCTGCGAACTCATTAGTTGCACATTTGGAAATAATTTGGTTTTTCATTGCAGCTAGTCAAAAATATAAAAGGCACCGACTGATTATCATTGATTGACAGAAGCAATAGATTCAAGAAATTCTCGTCAATAAATTTGACAAGCTGTATTTTAAAAAAAAACAAATATTGTTTTCAAACACAATAATTATTGACTCTGGAGTTTTACTTTTTGTAGGAAGATGAAGATATTGATGAGATCGTGAAGATTTCCAACAAGCCTTTTCCAAGAATTGTATTTAAAGGGCAGCTAAGTTCCCCCGACGCTATCTATATAATAGCAGATCAGCAAGTGCTATGCAGCTCAACAAACACCACTCTGTTGGAGGCCACAGTCTGTTTGATGGCATGTTACTATGTGTTCCTTTATGACTATCCAAGTGGCCTCAATAACTTCTATTTGTACTTGCAAAAGTGCATATTGCAACTTCAGGATGGGAAGAAGCTACCATCCACAGTAATTAATTTTGTAAATGACATTGATGCTATGTCAAAGATCTGAAAATGTGATTTTATAATTACTTCAATTGAATGATAACTTAATTATACTTCATGTGTGGTTGATATTCAACCAATTGCATATACCTGTACACAATATATTGATTTATTTCGTAAATTATTGGGCAAATGAAATCTAGGGAGTGAATTACAATAAATGGTCCAAAGCTATTTGAAAAAGTACTGTTCCTTGTAGGGCATATTGTTCAGATGGATTAGGGGTATTAATGAAATGGTATACCTGCATCAAAGGAATTGCACTTATTTAAAGATGGCTCTAGACTATGTATGGTAATTTACTCTGTAGATTTCAATTGCTTGATAGTGATTTGTAAAATATATTAAAATATTGCTTACAGTGTATTTTGCCCTTGTTTGAATGCCTGCATCATGTGATCAATGTTTAGATTATCATTCAATCTTTTTTCAAAACCTATTACAGCTTATCCAAAATTAAAGATTATTTATGATTATTTGAGTGCTCACACTAAATTCGTGTGATTCAGTATTCCCTTAAATACATTTCATTGCATGCACTCTTTAAATTAAGGATTTCTTAAAAATTGTTACTATTTATTGCTAAATAATGTTAGACCATTTTACATTCATGGAAGAGTGGACAATTTTTAGAATTTTACATTTTACATGCATATCTTCAGAATTTTAGCAAACAAAAAATTATTCGTTTTGCAAATTTAATATAGCTTCATGATTTCTAGTGACACATGCTTTTATTTATTTAGCTTGATATACCTCTTCTAATAACATTGATGATAACCAATCTGAACAGTTTTATGCCATGGAGGTAACTCATTGTGAGAGTAAGCTAACTCATTTTCTGTAGTAACTTAACTCATTTTTTTTGAGTGAAGTGAAGTTTAACTCAAAATAAAGAGTCAATCTGGATGCATTTCGTATGAGTTTACTGAACACATTATCAGAGTTGTCTGTACTCATTTTTGAGAAAAACCCACTCATGTTTTGAGTAGAGTTAACTCATTATTTGAGTACTTCTAACTCTTTTTGAGTTGTCCTAACTTACTCCAATGAGTTAGTTTTACTCAATATAGATAGTTAATCCAACTCAATATAAAGAGTTATTCTGGATGCAAGTTGAACTCGTTATATTGAGTTGGAATCACTCAACTTTTTTAGCGGTGTAAACATACTCACAGCAGTGGTTAACTATTTTGTACGAATGCAATCTTAGATTAAGGTTTTCATTGATGAATGATATCGATGTTTTCATTTACCGGCGGGAATGTCTTGGTGATTATGATTTAAAAGCAAGAAAAAGAAAGCTCGTCAAAGTTTGTTACAGACAACTTACAGGATAATACTGTCGCAAATGCCGAACCAAACCCCCTTGTTGTATATTTTTTATTTTGCTAAGATTATGTTGGCTATTAGTATTTTTTTTCTAAGGAGACATTAGATAATTATAGTTTTGTTTAGAGATGTAATATCTCAGTGGTGAATGTTATTATCATTAGTTGGCAGCAATGCCTCTCCTTGCAGTTTCAGGTGATCGATGTAAAAATTAGAAAAAAAGAAAGAATATCAGAGTTTGTTCAGAAAATTGTTTATTGACTTTTATCTTCCCGATTCACGTTTGTTAAAGTTATAATATTTATTTAAGAATAATCGCTTATATAAATACATATATGATTCTGTATATTATAATTGTTAAACAATAATACTTGGTAATTAAATGAACATTTCAGATAAGACATGTAATACAAATTTAAATAAAAGGAAACGCGACTATGCCACGGTGAGAAAATAAATAAACAAAATATATGGCTTTTTTTCCTCGTCTGTCCTCGTCTGTGAATGATTTTCTAGCTCCGAGACAACTGTTAATTGTTTTCACGAGCTCCGTGGAGCTTTCTTTGCGAGTGCTCGGTCAGTTGGTTTTTCTGCAGAGCAACAGTTTTCCGTTTCCTCGTCAGAGATACCCTCGGCATTGCTGCATTACAGCATAATTGCGTGACAAATGCCTTTAAAAATCAGCTCATTAAAATTTCAGTTTATATTAACATGTTTCGGAAAAAATCTCCGAATGCAGTCGAACTTTCTAATTGATGCAAATTCATTTTTTGCTGAAGTTGTGCACGCGGATATGAGAATTTAAAACAATGCCTGTGAATAATGAGGTCGCTCACTTGTAAACACGATATGGGGATAACAAATTAGTACTTTTGAGGCCCAATTTTATTAACTTCCACATTTTCAATAACCTTGAAAACTGCAGGCCGTATACAATGAAAATACAACTTAGCACTGACGATTTTTAAAAAAAATCTATCGAGCAGTTTTAAAATATTACAATATTTGTTGGCATAGACCAAATTATACGCAAAAATGACAACAAGAGCATCTGAATGCAAAGGCATCAAACCCTTTTTCTCACAATCGGTAAGAGCAATCTCGCCAACTTTTTACATACAATTTGAAGTGGAATAAAGCAACTACGTGGTATAGCGGCATTCCCAAGGCGCATCGTTTTCTTTAGATATCACCAAATTATCTCGACAACAATGTTTTTTACTGTATTTTTAACCCTCAAAACTTCATCCTCAAAATTTTCAAAAATGCTCTCATTGAATTTGTTCAAACTTGGCCAACATCTAGGCAATAACAAGAGATAAAAGCTCCAGTGAGCGATTTACGAAAAAACCTCATGGTACTGAGAAATACGAACGAAAGCAAAAAACTGTCATGACGTCATTACGTTGCTATGGAAACTCCGATGTCAACATAACACCAATCACAACAAACTTTCATCTTTTTGTAATACAGCTGTGGTAATTGTTTTACCATAACGTTGCTCGTGGCGTCGTAGTTAATTTTCAAACTTGAACAGTATGACTTTTGAAAAATCCAGTCGAGCCACCTTAACAGAACAGAACACACTCAAGGCTTCTCTATTAGTTAATTAAAAAAAAATACTTATAGAATCATTTGTCAGTAGACTAGTTTAAGGGTTTCAAGAGTTTTTACCGAAAATTTATTATTCTAAATCACCGGTGGTAATTAAACCCTTGTTAATTGATTCATTAAGCGATCAGGGTATGTCCCTTTGTCTGAGTTTATCGTTTTGCTAACTTTCGTTCTAGTTTGACGACACTCCACTGCAAAACGTCCTAAACGTATTTTACCTTTGACAATGGATATATTTTCCCTTCATCAAAGGTACAGTTGATAGTAGATGAAGAAAACTACTTTCATCGTTCATTTAAGCTTACTTGAATTGATTTATTGTTTTCTAAGCGGCACTTTGTTTTGAGGACCTCAACGGGGTGATATGGCTTTTACGGCTAACGGTTGAAATTCAGGCCATTTTACGGCTAAAATAATATTCCATTGTTGCCATCGTCATTTTTAAAAGTCAAATTGTTTTACGACCATCGGTTCAAATTTGCCAATTTTTACGACTATCAGTTTAAAATTTGTTGATTTTTACTACTATCGGTTGAAATTTGTCAATTTCTCCGCCGACCAGCTAAATTTCAACCGTTTTACGGCTATCGGTTAACCCCATCGACTCTCTATTTCCTGTGCTGTCCGATCAAAGTAAATCACTTTAATTGTGACTCCAATATCCCAAATGTTCCGAGTCATTTCCCCTCTAGGATGTCTATTGTTCCATGCATACCAAAGCCTTTTCACTTCAAACAGGCGATTAATGTACCAACAGAGGGGCATGATCTCGTAAGGTTTTAACTTTAGGTGATTTACTTGATTAGGTAAAAAAAGGAGAACAGAGAGGAACATAGCCTTTAATTAGGTGACTGTAACGAATGGCAAAGCTGAAAGCGACACTCTTTCCTTCTGATGGCATGGCTTTCAACTGTTTGCGCAGCAGAGGCTAAAGACTTTCCTTTACTGAGAAAAGAAAAGCAATTCTTTCTTATTTCGTTTCATTTTTTCAGCTACTACATTTATTCATCAGATAAAAGAATAACTAACAAAGGATTAGGAGGAAAAACGAATATAAAGATAATTAGCGATAATGGCTCTCTTGAATTCATTAAGACCGTATTTAAGTCGACTGTAAAACGAAAATCTTAGTAATCATTCCCTTTCGCTGCAGTAGCTTGATGTTTTCAGCATCCTTGAACATTAAGCCAGCGGCAGGAAAAAAGATCGTAGCCAGGTTTCGAAACTGAGTTTGAGAGATTCAGGATTAAAAATCATGAGTATTATTTAAGATTTGGGCGTTGTTTGAAGCAATAAGTTGCACTATGTTTATTGAAGATACTTGAAGGAAGACTATGGAGAAAATCCTTTATATTGATCCTGAAATTGTAAAAGTCCACTGAAAAAAGCGAAGGTGTTGCACTGCGAGCTCGACTGAGTGTTGGTACAGTTTTAACGACAAACATGAAAGTAAGATTATTGTAGAGTTTCAAATCGGAAGGTTGTACATTCTAAGTCTTCTGATGGTCCACGTGATAGCTTTTTTTTTTTTCCAGGAAACAAGATTGTTGTTGATTTTATTTTTCATTTTTAATGCAGCTAGATGATTATAGATGAGGATGTCTCAAAAGATTTCCCAAGATCCCCTTTATCGCTCGAAAGCAGAATCTGTTTTGGAGGTAACTTTTGCTATTCTGGTTTGCCTCGCTTCCGTATTTGGTAATGTGCTGGTTGTTTATGTTTTAAATAAATACTCCGAGATGCAAACCATCACCAACGTTCTTATTCACAATCTTGCACTGACTGATATTATCATGGCGACCCTTAACATGCCGTTCTGGATAACGAGCTTGTACGCGGGAAAATGGAATTTGAGCCAGGAATGGTGTGAAGTTTCTGCAACAGTACATCATACTATAGTTATGGCCTCCTTGCTCACTATGTGCTTAATTGCACTGAACAGGTACATGAAAGTCGTCAAGCGATCCTTGTATATTAAGTTCTTTCCCAGTAAAAGAGCAGCTAGGTTGTACTGTGGTCTTGTCTGGCTGGTGTCTGTGCTATTCGCCACACCTCCGTTGTACGGATGGGGAAAAATGAACTTTGACTCAGATTTAATCATTTGCTCATTCAACTGGAAGGAAGGACACGTTTCCTTTGTCATATTGCTTGCAGGGTTCTTCAACGTGACAATGGTTGCAATATTTTACTCCTATTGGAAAATTTACAAAACGGTGAAAGAGAGCACCGATAATGTCAACGCCAATGTTGTAAAAAATGGCGTCGGCACACCGAAATTACATCGAACTGATATCGATGTTTTGAAGAGTTGTTTCACAGTGGTTTGTTTCTCTTTAATTACATGGTTTCCTGTAGCCATATGTGCTTTTACAATGGCTGGTGGAGGCTACATTCCACATGAACTGACTAAGGTGACTATGTATTTGTTCTTCTCCAGTAGTGTTGTAAACCCAATCATCTATGGGATAATGAATCCGCAGTTCAAAGAGGCCTTCCAAAAGGCATTTAGATGTGGTCGATATCGCAACGATGATGGAGATCAGAGTCATGCAAGGGTTGCAGCCGTAATGATACATCCGAGGTGCAATGAGACTTAATGACTTTTGGCCTGCGGATCTATCATTTAAAGCTTTAGTTCAATACCTTTTGTTTATTTAAGAACCTTTTTTTCGGGAATAATGCGAAGATACTGGCTTCGTTCTGTTTCCATGTGTTGTTCGACTTACCTCGGTCAAGTAAAAGACAAAAACAGAAATTGGATATTATAAAAATATTTATAATTTGCTGTCGAAAGTATCCGCGATTGCACAGGGTTTTCTTTAGTTTGTTCTTGGATTGGTCCAGTAAACTCGCACTACCCTCTCGACCAATCAGAGGCAAAAGCAAAACAAACCAAAACGTAGTCACTCGCGTTTTCCCGCACTTTAGACAGTTTGATTTGATTTATTCTGAGTTCTCATTGTTTCTTAGGGCCTAATTACATTAGCTCGACCGACCCGGCCCCTTTTAAGTGCCTAAGACACGAACCTTTTTTTCGCTTTTGCTGGTTGATAGCTTTTTTCAAAATAAGAAAAAATCGACCTCAGCGCTTAGCGATTTCTCCTTGACCATTATCTTGTGCATTAAAAGTACGATTTGGCGGCCAAAAAGTGTTCCCATTAGGCACGCAGCGTAACACTAAGTTACATAGCTGTGACGTAGAAAACTGTGAAGACATGTCGGCAACTATGGTGGACAAAGGAGAAATCTAGAAGAGAGAAGGAACCTTTTTTCGTGGCCGGAGCGCCAATGATGTAAGCTACATGAGTAACACACATACGCCTGGTGTTTCTATACACTACTTTCCAAAGAATGTAGCTGTATGGCCAAAATGGACGCGTTTCGCTCTTCGATATCGAGGAGATTTTACTCTTCAATGTCGTCGGCCTTATGCTCCGTACCGGCTTCGAAGACGCCTGTTTCGAACACACATCACTAGTCAAATGAGGGGAAGATAACCAATGAATTCAGCTGAAAAGAATGCTTATTAAGGCAGGGTTTTTATTCGAAGCCGGGTCCCGGATACCGGCACCCGTCTACTTTGAACAGAGTACCCGGCCACTTTAAACACGAAATTTAAAAAAAATCGTCAAAAAAAATTATCAACCTCAACTAAATATTAACTCTTCCCTGTAAGTTTAAAATCTTTTTTCTGCACTTATTTATCAATTACTTGCTGCAGGTCGTGGAAATAAAATTTACTTTAACGAGAAAGGCACTGCGCGATAATTGCATTCTGCTTAGCCATTACATAACTCTTGCCCGTGATGTGCCAAACAGTTAAAAGCAAGTGCGTTCTGCGGAGTCATCATGGCAAGCAAAAGAAAACTCAAGGCGTCCTGGATTCTTTTTTGTCATCTGCAGACAAGAAGTCAAAAGGTTAGTTTTGAACATTTTTACACTTTACACATTCCTAGGAGCGAAAGACGCAGGTACTCATGTGCATATGAAAGGTCAAGTGCAATCACCCAGAAAATTAACTTTATTTTTTTCAATTTTAATTAGATTACAGCCGGTGAAATGGTTTTTTGAAAAGTTACATATGCTTTCTAAGCTTTACATTCTTTAAAATAGAATATAAAATATAAACAAGAGACGAATTTCGCCATAAAAGATGCTTATCAGCTGACGAGAGCGTCTTAGTAAGCCAACATTTTGTTAGCTTTCAAAGCTTAAATATTCCGAGCAAGTGAAAGAAACTCGAAGGAAACTTTGTTCCCATTTAATTTTTATTCAAGATAAAGCCAAGAAATGCATTCAAAAGCGTTAACATATCAAAATTTTCAAACGTGAAGATCTGCTTCGGCCTGTATGGGCGCTGAAAATTTAATCAGTGGAAACCTCCTATACTTCGAAAATCCAGATATTTCGGACCGAAAGTAGTTTTCTTCTCTCAGTCCAGAACTGTAATTTTGCCCCTAATTTCTCGAACTTCCCGATTTTTCCACCTGATCTTCGTTTCCCTTAGAGTTTCCAAAAATCGGGATTCCACTGTAACTCGGGTAGTCGAGAGTTGGGTATAAGACGTTTAAGGTAAATAATAAGACAATCTTATTAGATCTCTGGTGTGTAAAAAAAAAAAAGCGAAGGCGTAAATACGCGTAAATGTTTAATTGTTACTTATAGTCGAGGAGCAGATTTCTAAAAGAGGCCCAACTAATGGGTTACGTAGCACCCCCACCACACAAAAGGTTTGACAACAGATTCAGATAGCCAAATACCCACAGATCACTTATTCGACATTCGGGTCTACAAATTGTGGGGTCAGTGACTTGGTACGCTGCGATTTCTGAAGGGGGTGCGGGGTATTTTGAATCATCAAATTTCAGCATTTTCGCACAGGGTTAAAACTTTGAAAAATCATATCTTTTTACTTGATCAAGGAATTGTATTTGTATTTGGCCAACGAGTGCTAATCCATAAGAGCTACAATCTCTGATGTATTTTGTGCCTTTTTTACGTTGCCATGGTAACGGTTTATAAGGAAACTCTGTCTATGGGGTCTAACGTCAATAATAACGGATGTTTTGACTTCCGCGACAAATATACATTGCCGATGTACTTAGAATGTGCTTACAATTGATATTTACTAATTCTCGAGAACCGTTTGTATAAGATTTTTTACAAATTTGCAAATCAAACCATTCCATTGTCTTGTAACGAGTCATGAAAGTTGTCATAATTGCCTCTAAACCCTATTTTCCTATTGTTACCAATTAAAACCTTTGAAAAATCATATCTTAAAGACTGAACATTGTTCAACGATGAAACTATGGACAGTCATGTAACTTTATAAGCTCTTTCATTTTACAACCTTTTCGCGAAATGATCCTTGTTTCCATGGCAACGGTTGCTAAGATGTGTTTTTTTGTAAGCAATGCCGCTTTTAAAGAAGATCGAACAGAGATGTGGGTTAAATAAAGCAATTTAAAACAAAAGTTAATCAAAAAATTAAATAAGTTTTTTTTTTACCGGTTTGAGGAATGCTGAATGACCCCCTTAATTACTTTTAACTGAGTTTATGTATAGAATCAAAGTAATTACCACTGATTTTGTGGCCGACATAACGCGATTTGCTGAAAGTATAACTGAAGAAACGGCATATTCTATAGATTTAACTGTCACCAATGTCTTTATTCAAGCAAAAGAAACTACAGGATCCTGTGCCATAGGTTCAACAGCAATCAGATATTACACGCTCTTTTCCATTTGCGTTTCACTTCAAAAGCATTACTACAACTAATTGACAATCTACTCCTCGTCATCACTCGGACACTCTAATTCATCGAAACCAGTGTGAGGATTTTCACAATCACAGGCCATGCAAGCACAAGCCTCTGTGCACGATAACTCATTGACTCTGCAAACGCAAGAAGCGGACTTGCAGGCTGTCTTTATGCATTTGCAGACAGTGAGCTCTGCTAATCCCTTTGGGGCAGCATCCCTGGTCATTAGAAGGGGCATCAGGGAGCCGTCATCACCCTTATCCCACCCATTTCCCATTGGCTGTGGTAATTGCTGAAAGGCTTGCAGACATCGCTTCCAAATCATTGCTTGGTAATTGGCACGCTGAATGTGCAGCTGGAGACTGTCAGAGGTAGGCGGCAGTCCATTGTTTTTCTGTTTTCTCTGACAGAACACCCAGTACCTAGAAAACACAAAAGCATTTTGAGGGAAGGATTTTTTTTTGCTGTTGACATGCACTTTAACTAATAAGTTACATAAAATTAATGATTTGACCATGAGTATACCTTACATCATCTGCTGTTGTACCAGCTCTTGATGGGATGGCATACAAAGAGCTTATGAACGCCTCAGCCGTCTTTGCTACACTTTGAAGTGGTGGTACGTTGTCACCTAAGCCCGCCAGATCTACATACACATCCTTTGTTTGTAATAAAGCTTTCCAGGCCTTTCGCTTTCCAATTTGATACAGCGCGCTAGTTGAGTCACATCCTGTCAATGCGTGGAACGAGGGAATAAGACGGCAGAGATCCTCACCTAGCTTCTCCGCTAGACGGTGTACTGGTAGGAAACGAAGTTTGTCTTTAACACCAGTACGAAACCATAACTGCTGGGTATTGATCATGTTACATGCATAAACACAGAGAGCTGCAACTTCAGTATCAGGGGATTGCACCACAATCCTTTGGTGGTCTCTTGAACAGTCACCTGCGTGCAAAAGCATTCTTGTGTCAGCCTCTTCATGATCGGATGATAAATGAAGCAAAGGAGTTTCTTGATTTTGAGTGATAGCGAATGTGTCATCGCTGTGAATGAAACACCCTGCCAACACTAATTTCTGGTCCCCTGCAAGCCTTGTCTTTGCCATCTCTTTCCACATACTGCCAAGAAACGCCTTTAGGTTGGTCTTGTTCACAGGGTTGGAGATGAAGTTTTGCCACTTCTTGGGAACTGGAGTGGATGGCCCGATATTCGCACCTCAAAGCTTGATGATGATCCCCTTCGAGCACGCTCTGCTTCCTTGATCGAATCTTCCTTGTCATAGCGATCAAAAACTACATCCACACGGTTATCAACTGGAAGTACTAGTTAGCGAGCTCTCCAAATGTGGCCGAGCCTACGTTCTTCATCATTTGCACCACTGCCATGCCATCTATGACATACGCAGTTGATATTCTGTCATCTACTGGTAGTCTGGGTAGCGGTAGTACTTGTTCCTCGAGTATCTCCAGGAACGCACTTTTAGTAGTTTTCCGTAACGATCCATCAGGATGAGCCAGTGCGCAAGGGACAGAGTCCAGCTCGTACTTTAACTCTTCTCTCAAGTCGATATCCCTTGACCGTGAAGCTATCAAAAGACGCCCAAACAAGTTTCTGTCCGCGCTTGCTGTTACAAGCTTCTCATCCAAGGACTTAACCTTTGCTTTCTTTGACAAACTTGCAAAGGTTTTTATGTTCATCTTTTCCATCGGTTCCCAAAAGCCAACTTCATTGGTATTGATACGCTTGCTCACAAATAACTTCATCCTCGCTTCTCCTAAACATTGGGCATCAATAAGTTGCTCTGATATCTCCTCTGGCATAACTACTCCCGAAGCAAGGTTCATTAGTGGAACGTCCTCTCTGTACGCATCTTCATCGAACGGATTAGACATCACTGTCTGCAGAGTGTGTATGACCTTCTTGATGTCATTTTCGTCTCTTTGAACTCTGACTTTTGATGATTCCTTGTGTGTAATATCGGTAAGCAATAGTAGTCACTGTACTTCCACTTAGCGGGTTACGTAGGTTTTTACACAAGACGTGATTGGCAGCGGCCCGGGCAAATTGGAAAACAAACGCAGGGGAGTCGCGAGGAATACCTGGTCACTATTTCCGGTGTCGGTGATTAACTCCTTTGTTTGCGAAACAGATAAAATCGATATTTGCACTTTCGCATCTTTCCCATATTACAAGTAAAGCAGTTCTTTTGCTCGATTCCAAAATGTGGATTCCTCTTCGAAATCGTACGCTGATGCGGTAAGGGGACAGAAGACAAACATTTGGTGGAGGAAGTACCAGGCAGAGGACGAGGAGGAGGCAATGTTAATTGCCATTCAAAATCACGGGAAATCGTAAAGGTAACTGTTGTCTCATTACTGCTTGATATGTTATTTAAGGGCAAATCCAGGGAAGGGCAATCTGTTGGGCTAAGGATGGCTTTTTCAGTCTGTTCATTAAAAAATGACAAGTAGTCTGCTTGTGTAGGTGGATAGTACAGACGATGAAGAACCCACTTCGGGATTCTGCTGCAAGTACAAAAAGGAGGACTGGCGTGTTCGGGTAAGCATTTTCGGGCTGCGTTTAAAATAACCTGTGCAAGTTGGCATGGACCTTTCAGTGAAATGGCACACACCATATAGGAAATGTTATGAGCAATTTGCGATGTTATTCGTTGTGATGCAGAAGTAACCGCTGAGTCTCCTGTTCTTGGGGATTGTTTTAATGGTAAAATGTTCTTATCGTTGTCCAAATTTTACTTCACAGAACTTGAATTGTTTAAGTGGACTGTTGACGCGAAAACCAAGGCTTGCGTAGATGGCCAGATCTCGCGCTCCGATCACGATCGTGAAAATAAGAGCACGTGAGAAGGATCTATTTTCACGGGCGACAAAAATCAAATTTTTGTCAGGTAATATTTGGAACTTTGAATCCTGAAAATTGAAGTTTGAATCTTTTGGCATTCGACAGCTTACAATGGGCCAATTTTTCCCCATTTAAGCCTGCACTGCTATATTAGTCACGCGCTTCAGTTCATCTGTTAACAATACATTTTTCGGTATCTGGAAGCAGAGGGTTTTGAAGTTAAATTAACTTGGAAAAATATTTGATTGGTAGAAAATCCCGGGCGTGTAATATAAAATGATTTGATTTCTAAAACGCAACATGTATTGTGAAGAGAAGTCCTCAGTTCTCCCTTTCGGTTGTTTCTCGTATAGGGAAGTAGGCCTCTTGCAAAAAGAAAATTGGTCGGGTCTTCCGCTAGTGCTTGTTTCCTGAATTTGACGTCATATTCTCTTCTAGCATGATGACAACTGTGACAAGACTAAAGGCAAAATACCTTATGAGAAAACCGCTGTGGTTGAGAAAGTAGACTTGATGCTCATTGATTCGCCAGTCAAAAGGTAACACTGGTTGCCAATATTATTGGCGCCCTCCTTTACGTTTCCGTACAATATATTTTATTGTCAAGAGAATGGGCTTTTTTGTGCTTGTATTAATCGAAACTCGACGGTCGTTGCTCGACTTTCGACTGGAGTATCTAAATTATTTCATACAATTCAAACAATCATACTTAACAATAAATCAGTCTGATTTTTTTTTCTTATCAAGGGTGTGTGTGGATATTGAGACGAGCGACAGCGATGAGTGCCTTTTCAAACCAGTCTTTGCATCAGAAAAGTGAGTCACTCAAATATATATACCATAAAATTTCCGTGATAACAGTGGAGTCATTGAACGTGTTTACGAACAATTAACTCTGAAGGGTATATTTTAATTGTCTGATTATTTCAATACGATGTCGGTGAAAGATCACCACACCTTGCACGAAACGTTAGAGAATTTTGCTCTCCCACTGTGGCGTTTGAGAAACCTATGAAATTCTTTTACTGTCTTCCATAGAGATGTGGCTGAAAAGGTAAATAAGAAAGTGCTGACATACCAGTTGAACGACTCCAGCGATAGCAGTGAAGACGAACAAGGAACTGATTACTTGAACGACGACCCAATGGTTCCCATCTACCGACGGGGATTACGTAAGGGTTTGGCCTTCAAGAAAGTGGTAGATATCCTCTTCCATCCGCCTCGAGAACTTATTGCACGTGCTGTTCCTTCCGCTATCTCCGAAAATTCTGTCTTTGTGGTGGACATATCTGCCCCACACATAAAGCACTTTAAAAATGTTCTGGCTGACGACCTTGGTGCATGGAATCCAACTGGGACGAAACAGCAATACTACCGTGCTTCCACCAAGAGGAATCCTGTTCGTAAGGCTTCCCAGTCGGAATATGATGATCATGAGGCACAGGTCTATAAATGTACGAGAAGCTTCTACAGGAATGAATCCTCCCCCGATTTGCAAAGGATTTTCATTTATCTGACAGGTAAGACTATTTTAACAAATAAATAACAGTGAGGTCCTTATGGAAAAATCTCAAATGGAGGCCTAGCGGTATTAACCTAGCGATAGCAAGGTCATTAGTCAGTTTGAGAGGTCCCTGCTACAATGAATAAACAGTTGAGATTAGTAAGACATTTGTAACATGGATCATGAAAAAAGCTTCCGAAGAAAGAGAAAGTCAATTTAAACCAAGGGTCACACTGCTCAAGTGAAATAAGTAAACTATGGCGTGCTCCGAAAAGTGGTGTGTGGCCAAAAATAGGAAACAAAATTATTGACAAAAACAAAACAAAATTTTTCTATATTTGAGTGAAGAACATCCATCTTCAAAACCTCACCGTAAAAAAATTTACGTCCTCATTTGTCATAATGTAACAAATCTGACCAGCAAAAGGGGGTTTTAATCAATACAGCATATCACACCAGTGCACAACATCTGGTTACCAAGTGCATTCAAATATCAAAACCTTTATTAATTTCATCTTCTCCTTTTTCAGATTCCAACGGAACGATTCACGATTTTGCTCTTCTGCAATATGTTTTTGATGATAATGAACACGAAGTTAAAGTTAAACCACGAGGCAATTCTAAAAGTCTTTCCAAAGAGTATTACCGCACTTCGCATACTACCATGGAACGGTTAAAAGAACTCGCGAAATCTGACCCTCCCAAGACGGTGTTTTTCAAGAGTATCGAAGAAAAGGGAACAATTTCAGACTTTAGAAACGCAGCTAGCCATGCCAGAAATGTACAACGGATAAAGAACATTAAAAAAACCATGGAAGAGCAACCTGGGGATTCTACACTCGAGCTGATAGACATGCTGAAGCAAGGAAACAGAGACAAAGAGAATGCCTTCGTCCGTAAAGTAGAGACCTCAACCGATCCTTGTGTTGTCCTAACGACTGACCAGCAACTTAAGGACGTGGAAAGATTTTGCACAAATCCTAGCCAGTTCAGTATTTTAGGAGTCGATCCTACTTTCAATTTTGGAGACTATTATGTGACTCTTACTACATACAGGCATCTCCTTCTCCGAACCAAAGAAGACAAGAATCCAGTCCGGATCGGACCAACCCTAGTTCACCACAAAAAAGAACCACCCAGCTATTACGAGCTCTCGTCTACCATGATAAAGCTAAATGCAAAAACCCAAAATGTTCTAGTATATGGTACTGACGGAGAAAAGGCATTGGGTGAGGGTTTCGGTAGACCTCTCCCTTATGCCCAGCATTTACTCTGTGACCTGCATATGAAAGACAACATAGTGTCAAAAATGAACGAACTTGGAATACGGGGCAAACAATCAGAAGTCATTCTAAGTGACATCTTCGGAAGAGATATTGGTTGTAAGAGGGTACCTGGTCTTATAGACTCGGAAAGCCACGCCCAGTTCGTGACCAATCTGGAAAAAATGAAGGAGGAGTGGCTTTCCTTACACCCACTCTCAGAGCGCTTTATTACTTACTTTTGTAAGTACAAAGCGGAAATTATAAGGCAAACGATGACAGCTGAATTGAGATCCATGGCTGGTCTAGGCTGGCCTCCAGGTGTATACGATCAGAACGGAAATGAATGTATGAACTCGGTTCTACAAAGAGCGAAACAACTTACAAGGAAAGGGAAGCTTTCCATTCCCGAATTTGCCAGGTTGCTGCAGACGGTGGTGAAAAGACAGAGAACAGAAGAGGATTTAGCATTTATGGGGCTCGGAGAGCTAAAAATGGACAAAAATTACGAGGAAGAGGGAATGAAGGAGTTTGTCTTTTACAGGAAGACGAGAGCGCAACAGGAAGCGGCGCTCAAAAAATTTCACAATCTCCCAGTAAAGACAGTTGACATAATTCCTATCGACCCGGAAAACACAAATGAAGCGGACACAATGTCACCATTGAGTTTGCCTCTGGAAGATTTTGGCATTATCCGGGTTCCCTTCAGTATTCTAGCACGTATGTACCATCGTGCATCGTTGATTTTGGCGCGCAAAGGAGAAAACATTCATCCCGATCCTGGAAGAGGGGACAATTTACCACGTTGTGTGGCAAACGAGGCAATTGATGCTCCATCGTATGCAGTTTGCAAGAAACGTACCATGCGACGTGGAACATATTATGTGTGCAGCGGCACTTGTATCAATTTTAAAGCGTATGACATTTGTGCCCATATTTTAGCCGTGGCTGAAATGGATCGTTCATTGACTGAGTTCGTTCATTGTTACAAGACAACGAAACAAAGGCCTCCTAACGTGGATGCCTTGATTCACATGGACCTCCCTCCTGGGCGTGGGTCAAAAAAGACCAAGAAAACACAAAGAAGGAAAGGTGCTACAAATAAAATAAGAAAGGAAGTTGTGGAGAGTTACACTAACACCTCTCCAACTGACCATTCAGCATAGAATCCGGCGTCGACTTTAGTAAGATCCTCAGGAAACAGAGGCACAGAGAAGGAAGCAGAGAAGACAACAACACAAAAAGACACAGAAGAGCCTCAGGTATGTATATATTGTAAGGATCATTCACAGTTAATACAGGGTGTAATGCGTGATTCTGTTATCTCGGGTTTTAGATCGGTGAAAGGTTTCAAATTTTTTTGTGTGATTATGCTGCCAACTGTTTGATTTTTTATATCGACTATGATCATGGTAAAGTCCCGCTATATGTTAGCTCTGTGCAAGTCGTTTTATTTCACTACCTGGTGAGCTAATTGGGTTGAACGAAATAAAAACTCTATCAAATAAAGCTTGTAGTGATAATGCGCAGCAAGTCGTTGTAGAAATGGCCCGCTGGATATAAGGTTTATAAAGATTTAGCATCTGGTGAGACTGTCGGCTTGTTGCATAATTCCCACGCAGCCACCGACTAATCTTAGCTGTTAACTAAAATGCCATTAATTTTATTCTATCTGCAGAATAAAAGCCCCAACACATCAACGCCGGCAGTTCAAGAAGGTAGTTTCCAGTTGAGCCTTCTCAAAAGATGCAGCCCTCTGGTGAGAAGGTGTTACGGGTGTAAGGGTGTCTTGAAACTATGGCGTGGTGAAGACTTTTTTATTCCCAACCCACCAGAAGACCTCGTCATAATATCAAGCACGAGACGGGCCTACTGGCAGAATGGAGAACAAAAGACTGGACGATTAGGAAACGTATACTTTCATTGTAAGGTTGAGTGCATCCAAAAACTGCAGCCCCAATTTATTCCCTTCTTGGTGATCATTCCGGCGGCCGTTCAACGTTAATTACTCGAAGTTAAAGACAACGCAGCATGTTCTTGTGGCCAAGGACTCTGGCCTCATTTCTGACGACGCTTACCATGCATTGCGGATGTCTCTCTCAGAGGATGTCAGGGTCATGATACCGCCACTAAATGTTATAAAAGACGAAAGAAAAAGACAAAATCAAATTGTGGAAATTCATCATATATCTGAGGTAAGTGGCTCTCTTTTTTTGACAATGGAAGTACCTTAATGACGAAAATCAGCTGAAATTTTAGCTGTTGGCTGAGAAGTGGACTCACATCTCATTTACTTGGAGTAATGCTTCTTGTCCCTTTTTCTTTCAGAAATTAGTGATAGAATGAAATTGACTGGAACAGACTTTCATCTGTTTATCTTGAACAAAACAAAACAGAAAGAGCATTTTGATAACATTTAATTGGTAATATCTTGTTTAGGCGAAAAAAGGAGATGGGGCACGGCGGAACATTGGTGAAATTTTAGAACAACTCCTACAAATTCAAGAAGTAAGAGAGGCTTTGCAGGCCAATGGGAACAAAATAAACCTTCGATTTGCTGCTGATGGCCAGAGAACAAGTAACAAGTCTTGAAAAATGTGGCTGTATTTCTAAAGTAAATTGCCAACCCGTCGAAAAGAAAAACTACGAGCAGTCACGAATGTTTCATCGTGGCACCCAAAAGGGAGGCAGGAACTCCCAGTACACAGTGCAAGTCATGGAGAAGGAGAATAGAAAGTTGTATGCAAGAGTAAACAACCTGCACCGAAACAAGAGATTATACATTAAAAATTTGGAGGATGATCAGGGCAGCATAGCCACATACACCAACAACCAGGAAGAAGGATAAAGGTAATGTCAAGGATTAAACATCTTACAGGACAGTACAGAGCATTGCTCAGCATTAAAAAATAATTCTGTCCAATATTTGTACATATTGAAAACTATGATACTTTTAATTAGTTAGCCCGACTGAATTTCATTATTTTATTTTGCAGGATCAGGAGTAGGAATGCTCGGCCATTGTCGCGCAACTTTCTCAAGGTTCCGTCTCCCCGTTCGCCATGCATTTTGGATCATGTCCGAGAGGCATCTCTCAGCCACAGATTGCGCCAATCGTATCCACCTTCCACTACAGCATTGTTAAGATACTGTTATATGCTAGAAAACGCTAATAGGATACCTTTGTATGCTAGAAAACGCTAGTGCGATACTGCTACATGCTAGAAAACGCTTGTGCGATACTGTTATATACTGAAAAAAACGCTAGTTAGCATACTGTTATATGCTAGAAAACGCTAATTTCAAAATGGATATAACAAGGTGGTAATTGAACTTCGTGTCGTGCAATTTTGGTCTTAAATCATAGTTGTGAAATTTTCTTTCCTGAGTATTTCCGGTTCCACGCTCTGTAAAGAAGGTCTGAATAAAAAGTCGATTTGCGTATAAAAAGTTGTTTCTCGATTATTTTATTATTTGATTTCAACATGGATGAAATAAAGTGGTAATGGCACACTCGTTCAATTTGAAATCACAAGTATGATCTCAGACCAAAATTGCACGACACGAAGTTCAATTACTCTTAATCATTGATTCTGAATCATTAAATTCAATAGTTAACCAAATAATTCTTGCAAAATACCCTCTCTGTGGTGGTCATTGGCCGGCTGTGTGTAGAGTAGAGTGCTATTTAATTCCAAATTTACAGTAAACTAAGCAATATTACATATGTCGTTGATTTTGTGATTTGATTGTTTCTAAACTGTAGATAGATACTTAAAACAAAGCGGCATTCAAAGCTCAGGAAAACGTAAGGTTGAACTAGTAGAACTTTGTGAGAAAAGTGAGCAGATGAAAGTCCCAAAAATTGCTGAGGAGGAAGCACCAGTCGATCCAAGAATTTCTATCAAAGAGCAAATGAAAACCGTTGACGGTGATCTCGCAAATCCGTTGGATAACGAAAACCGTGTTTTTTCCCCAATGGACCAAAAGCTTTACTGACGTACCGGACTTTAGATTGTGAGGTGGAAGTGACTGCAACTTAGTGTATGTAAATGGTAAATGAAATATGTATTAAAAGTATCCAGAGACAGATCAATAAAATTATGTGGTATCTAATCGAGCACTGACAAAAAATACTATTTAAGCACTTTCACTTTTACAATCAGCATCTAATGGCAGTCACTTGATAATGACCCTCAGTCCCTGGATTTGGTACTTCCATTTGGGTTCTTTTTTAGTTTCATACTTGCCATCCACAAGCATGAGGTTCTCCTCAACTGCAAAATGTGGAGGGAGATTTCTCTTTGCAGACACGCTTTTAACTTCAATTAACATCTTTTGGCAGCAAGCGCAAATCCTTATACCATCAGGACCGGCTCTCAAGAAAGGCCATAATGTGTTTACAATGAGTCCACTTTTTTCTATTGACAACTTTTCATGATATTTGTTCTGTTTTTTTAATGTAAAGACCAAGTGCTCACTTCTCTTTTTCATGCCTCCATGTCAACTGTCGTGGCATGGCATTTTCAGCAATTGGACAGTAATTCATAAGATGTTTAATAGTGTTTCTTCTGTCTGTGCTCTCTCTAAGGTGGCATACAGTGTAAAATGAGGAAGCTGTAGTTCTTCCTGCCCTTTAATCAAACCAAAATTGAGACTAGGATTGATAGACAGTTTCCTAGTTGATCATTTCTGCTTGTTCTTCATTAAATGGAATAGACTCAAGGAATTCAGTTGCAAGTTCTTTAGAAACTGTAGGCATCACTTTTTCAGTATTAACAGAAACAAACAGTTTGGCATGATCAATCATTGAATATACATGTACACTTTGAACACTTTCTTCTTTACAGACATTAACATCACTGCTGATGAAAGCTCAGACTTCTGCCTCTGTTTGCATGGGTCCTTTAGTTGAAGATAAAAAAGGCGGAGCTGAAGAGCTAGGACATGTTTCCAGCAATCCAGTCTTAAAATCTTGTTCCAGTTCAGTCACATTATAAGGAATACAAATTACATTAAAATCTCTTGAGTGAATTGGGTCTTTCAAAGTCACACCGTAACTACCACTCGTTTGAAGGTCCTGAATAAGCAAACTTCCCTCATTTCTCTTTCCTCTCTTTTTCCACATGCACTGTCCTGATTCACATGATTGGAGATCATTGAATCTCACATTTCATTCTAGATCAAACGGTGCTGCAGCTATGTGCCAGCAACCTCCATCTGCCTTGTTTAAAGGAGGACCAATATGACAAATATGTATCTCATCTTGTTGACACTGATAGACTGTAAAGTAGGCAATAAGTTCGGTTACTAGGCTCACAGATTCTGACTTTGAACTACTGTTTTGATACTTAGTGCTCAAGTCATAATGATCCAGAAGGTTTGAGACTTAAAATAATGCATCCATTGATTTAGATCTTCACTTCAGGAGACATCTACTTTTCACTCATGTTACAACTGCTACAAGGGAAATATAAACCTTCAAATATGAATAAAACAAAACCTGTCATAGAGAAAAACAACTGAAAAGACCAAACGTTTTGATTCTCAAACGTATGTTTATGGAATATCAAGCACATAGACAGGCTTCAGAAATCAAAAGAAGAAAATACATACCCTCCTCTGCATAAGCAGTATGCTGAATTGACACATCCATCCTTCTTTAAAATGAAAAACCCTCTGTATGTTGCTGAACCATCATCAATCTTGGATTTTTCAGTTGGCTTTACAGCAAACTTTAAATAACTGTAATTAATATTGGGTTGAGGTGGGTGATACCAAAGTTCTTCCACATGTTCATCAAAAAATAATTTTTACCCCAATAGAGATTTGTAGATTTTTAGGCTTTCGCTACTGTATACGGGAACTGTTTCCACCAAGTAAATGAAAAGATCGTGGAATCTTCGGGGAATCCCCAAATGTATGGTCATTAATGCAAGATCACTTGTGAAAGTTGATGCCGCTTCTGCTTTGCATATGGAATTGCACTCAAACAACTGCGATATTTGCATCATCTCCGAGACATGGCTTAAACCAAATTTTCCATCTCATCTCGTTTGTCCGAAGGATTACTCAATTTTGCGAAAGGATAGAACTGACCGGTCAGGCGGTGGTGTTGCTATTGTCTGTAGGAGCGATTGGTTGTTGGAACGATTAGACAGCGTTTTTTTTATAATGCCTTTGAATGTTTGTGGGCTAAAATTACAACTCCCAACTCAAGCTTTTATGTGGCTGCTGTTTATCATCCTCCAGATCCGCCATATTGTCCTGATGATTTATTGGAACATCTAACAAATAGTTGTGATCATTTATTGACTGGTAATCCTAACAGCAACCTTATAATTTGTGGTGACCTCAATCAGCTAGATTACAATGATTTTCTTACACAACTAAATTTATTCCAGATGGTAAATACACCGACAAGAAAGAACAAAATTTTGGATGTTTTGATTACTAACGTCCCACATTTTTGGAGGAAAGTATCGGTCACTCAAGGACTAGTTCGATCTGACCACTCTGTGGTCCTGGTATATCCCAGAATCCCACTTAAGGCTGAAAGGAAAACTGTGATGTTCAGAGATGTTCGTGATCATCATAAACTGGATATGGATAAACTGTTGAAGTTTCATAACTGGGACAATGTTTATCAATGCGGAGATGTGAATGGAAAACTTAATCTTTTTGTACCAAGATTAAGACCATGTTTGATGAGTGTTTTCCGGGTATATCAGTACGTGTGTCTAATAGGGACCCTCCGTTCTTTTCTCCTCTAATCAAACATCTACTGGACCAACGGCGAAAATTGATTCGGCGAAGTAACATGTCAGGAAATTCTGTTTCGATTGAGATCCAAACTCTTCAAGAGAAAATCAACAAATTGATCAGAGATAATCAAGTTCGAGCAGTTAAAGGGAATTTTGAGAAACATAGTGCAGGATCCAAATCTTGGTGGTCAACAGTCAATTCCCTGACAGGAAGGAAGTCTACCAACTCGCAAGTAAGCTCAATTATCTCCCCGAGCGAGATCAATAATTTTTTCTGTTCCATTAACACTGATCCCCTTTATAAACCCATTGACACTGTCACTATCCCGGAATCAAGCGAGATGCCTGTTTTAATGGTCTCCAGTGTTACCAGGAGTCTACTGAAATTAAAAAGAACTGCCTCTGGTCCAGATGGAATCCCGTACTGGTTTTGGAAAGAGTTTGCGTACGACCTCGCTCCTGTTGTTACCCATATTTTCAACTGTTCTTTGGAAAATCACATTGTGCCTGATCTTTGGAAATTGGCCGACATAACTCCCTTGCCTAAAGAGCCCAACTTTAAAAATTGCACACAGTTGCGGCCTATTTCGCTGACTAATGTAATAATGAGGGTTTTTGAACGTCTTGTATACAGACAAGAATTATCTCAATATATGAAGAACTTCATTAGCTTCGACCAGTTTGCATACCGCAAAAGGCCACAATACGACAATGGCCTTAATTAAGTGTCAATATGCTTGGCTGAAATGGCTTGAGTCGGGTTTTGATTGTGTTAGAATCTTCTCTTTTGATTTCAGCAAAGCTTTTGATTCGGTCCCTCATGATATCCTCTGCTCTAAGTTGAAAACACTTGATATAAATCCATACGTGACCAATTGGATTATTAGTTTTTACAGAACAGGAAACAAAGAGTTGTTGTTGATGCCATTGTCACGGACTATGTAAATATCAATAGAGGTGTCCCTCAGGGGACAGTTTTAGGCCCTATACTATTTTCTATTATGGTCAATGATATTAAGGCCATTCTACCAAATCAGAATTTACTTGTGAAATATGCTGATGATTTAACATTAAGTATTCCAGTAAAATCGCTGGCTAATAACGGCAATTTAGCAGCTGAGGAGGTCCGATCGATCGTCGCATGGACATCTGCTAATCGTATGCAACTAAACTACAAGAAAACGTGGGAGATGCTTCTTAGAGGCAAATCCAAATCCACTAAGGCCTTACCTGCTCCTCTGGTTTCTATAGAGCGTAAACCATGTCTGAAGTTGTTGGGTGTAACTTTTCAATCTGATCCGTGTAACTGGGACTTACATTTTGATAATATTATATCGAAAGCCAGTAGTCGTCTGTACATCTTACGTGTTTGTAAATTCTATGGACTGCCGCTGGATCATCTTCATCTTCTCTTTATCAGTCTTATTCTACCTATATTTACATATGCTGTAGAAGTATGGGGCTGCGCGTATTATCATAAGTATCTGAGTCGCATAGACAGGCTGTTCAAGAGAGCTTTTAAGCTTGGCTACTGTAAAGAGCTTTTTTTCGATTGAAAATATTATCATTCTAAAAGATAAGAAGTTGTGGGCCAAGATCACCGACAGCGATTTTCCAACAGCTTTAGATGACCTTTTGCCACCAGAGCGAACAATGGATACGCTACGTAAGAGGCGCCATAATTATATTCTCCCGCTTGTCAGAACTGAACGTTTCAAAAGGACCTTTATTAATAGATGTTTGTTCTCTTATTAGTTATTCAGTTAGTAATTTAGTTAGTTTATTAGTTTTATACTTGCTGATTTCATATCATTGTAACTAAACACGTTTGTTGTTTAGAGTGCTTAATAAAGACTTATTATCTAAAGTCTGTTACTTTAGTAAAGTTTTTGGTCCATTGGGAAAAAACACGGTTTCCTTACCCAACGGATTTGCGAGATCTCTCTCAACGGCTTTCAGTTGCTCTTTCATAGAAATTCTTGTGCTTCCTCTTCAGCAATTTTTGGGACTTTCATCTGCTCACTTTTCTCACAAAGTTCTACCAGTTCAACCTTACGTTGAAGGCTGTCCAAGGTTTCCCTAATCTCTAGAGAACTAAAAAAAACTTCTACAGGTTGTAGCCAGTGAGAAAATTTTACTAAATCATGCAGGATCAAAGCTCTACAGTCTGTAACCAATGGGCAGGTAGAATTCAAAGACAATAGATCTAAGATGTATAAAGGTATAGCAGATTTTTAAGGGAAGTCATAATTCTATCTCGTAGAGTGGTGAGCAAGCAAGCAAGCAATGAACAAGATGTCATCAAATACCAAGAGGAATCCTCCTTATGTCAAAAAAGAAAACAAGAAGAAAACAGAAGCCAAGAATAAGTTGAAGGGTACTATTGTCATTCATGCGCTGCCTATGAATATTCCTGATTTCCGAGGTAAAGATACCCTGATGCATGACAGTTTTGGAGGAGAACCACCCAAGTTTGTTGTGAATAAGCCACGAATGGCTGTGGATTATATGAAACCAGAACACAGTATCACTCCTAAATCAAAGCCTGCCAAGTCACAGCCGCCATTGAAAGAGTTGAACAAACTGGTAGAAAATATCAAGACAGAACCAACGACAGAAAAGACTGAGGTGGAAGTGCTAGAACAAGGCGAGATTCCACAGGATTCTGGTACAGGTACGTATCAGTATTCCTCTTTGGATGAGTTACTAGATAGTGTGGATGTCAGTTATCCATGTCCGATCCACCAGACCATGATGGACGGATTGAAATCTAAAAGAGAAGATTGTGACGATGTACTCCTACGTTGCTCGATCGCCAGTTACCCAGTCTTTTGTAATCCCAATGACTACCACCATTATTACTATAATTGTCAAAGGCAGGGTCACCCCTGGTTCACCCTGGACAGAATTTACAAGATGGTGTGCGAATGTGGAATGACTCCCACATTGTCATTGACTCAATCAGAAACAAATTACGGCAAAATGTATTTGCAATGCAGTCAACGCCATTGTAAGCTATTCACTTGGTGGCAATTTAAACCCAACAAGAGGACAGTGCAAATTCTTACCGATGGATGTGAATGATTCATTTCAGGAATAGATGTCAAGATGACATTTGCAGATTTATTAGAAGCCCTTTTTCCTATAATTCGAAGAAAGTAATACGAGTCTGATGTGTTAATTTTTAGGCATAGACGAGGATGAGGAACATAGGATACCTGTTCTATGGGTAGCCCAATTAATCGCACCCTATGTTGATAAAGTCACTGTCAATGTAAAAACATAGCGTTAATAGAGACTTTTCTTTGTAAACTTTTTTAGATTCAGAAGAGGACGACATGGCAAGAGATGATACTTGCCTTAATATGTTGTTATCGGATCCTGCACCAGGTTTTGGAACACATGAGAGGATGGATATGGCTTTTACTGCAAGTATCATCTCCTGCAGCATTATTTCCCCGGGTCTGTTGGGAATGTGTGAAAACATGTCAAACTGTAGGAGATCAACTTATCATCACCAGTTATTGGGGTCCTGGTTAGTGTTCTAATGCAACTCCATAACCTTTCAAACCATAGAGATCAATTCATCATCGCTTGTGAATGGAGTCCTGCCTTAATGTTATGAATGATGTAATAATCTTTAATAATCTTTAATCTTCGTAGAAGACTCCATTCTTTTGCCTGTTGTCCTGTTGTCTTAACCAGCTTTCAACTACAAGTTGTTTGTTGGTGGTAGGATGGCACCAAGAAAGGGTCTCTCACCCTTTTCTCATGTTATCGGCAATGAGCTGAACTCTCTTGAGAGATACTGCTAAGTTCCAGTCTTTGTGGCATTAGCCCATGCCAATATTTACGAAAAAATGTAGTTGTTCAAAGTTTTCCCAAAGAATTTAAAATGGTCGAAAGAGCTACCCTTCGGCAAGTCAATGAATGCATGTTCAACACCAATGTCGTGCCAGATTTTGTGGTTGTGGCGTCATCGTTTGGCATTCTCGCTGTTTTATTCTGGCAACAAATTCAAAAGAGCTCATTGCTAAAGGATCCAAGGTTTGGTTTTCTCAGAACATTTCTGAATGACCTTGACTTTGGTGCGTTGCCTCGTCAACATGAAGAGATCACACGTGGAACCCCGTTCGCAGATCCAGCAACGATACCTTCAAGAAATCAACCCCAGCCTCACGTAGCTCATAAGCTATCCTTGAATTCATCACCAGTAAATGTAGAAAATGCGCCTCCAATGACACCAAAACAAAGTGGTCAAAATGGCAAGCAAAGTATCTCCCCAGACATAAAAGATATTTGCCAAGATTTAGAAATCAACAGCCCAGAAAAGGAACTGCTGATAAAAAAAGGGGCAGCAACTAATCAGCCAAGTCAATGCCCTATGTGAGGAAAAGAGGGAAAGTTTGTCAACTGTCATGTCATATTTGTGCGCTTTTGGCAAAAGTGACGCTACAGGCCTAATCAATGATATAATGGAGAAAGTGGCATTGAGGAAAGGGGTGAAGAGAGCTCTACAAGATCTTGC